TATATATATATATATATAACACTTCTTTCCTGCATTACATAGTTTTTGATCTTGCATTAAAATGTCACAATAGTGGTTGATCTCACATATTGGTCAAGCTGAAGTGTTTTGTTGCTTTTTGCTTTGTGGATCCTATTTTTTTCCCTTTAGTTTTAAAATCAATACTGTTTATTGTAGTAACACAACCGAAAAATGTATTTAGCGATAAAAAACACTGAAGTCATCGAAAGTCTGAAGGTGGCTATGGAGTGAATAATGCAATATAGGCCGTAGTGACTCACGAAAGTACAGGTATGAGTGTGTGAAACTGCTCAATAATGATCATTTCACCTTCTTTGCTGGTGCACTTGTGTGTTTAGTGAACTTTTATTGTACATAGTGCAATGATATGTATTTTAGTGACTTTTATTTGAATTTTCAGTACCAGATACTTTAAAAGACGTTTTTATGACATCATAAGGGACTCATAAACTTAGAAAAAAAAATATCCTCATGGACTCAGCCAAGTGATATATGAGTTTTTTCCCCTCTTGTTTGTGGGGGCAAAAAAAAAAGGGTTTTCTCATAGACTTCAAATTCTTGGCATTAATTTGCGGCTTTTGTTGAATATAAAAAGACCACGGGCAGTATGATCACACCCAAAGCTGGGATGTGCTTGAATAGCTGTTTGATGTTTGTTTTTTTTAATGAAAGATGGTTTATGCTTAATGAAATTACACCCAGCCCTCTCACTCTGTCTAAAAAAGAAAGCACAAGAGAGCATAGCAATCAAGTCTCTATTTTTCTTAACTCTCAAATTTTATATAAAGACAAAGTAATTGCTAGAAATTAGAAGTGGTAGTAGGGAATGCACGTTTGGCATTAAATCTGTCCCCTTAATTAATCAAAACGGAAAAAAAAAAAAAGTTCTGGTGGTTAGTGGCTGCTATTGAAGTGAAGATTTTCCTCGTGGTTGAACTCATGCCTTGTGTGGAGTGACTGTAAGTGTGTAGTTAATGAAGGTGAGGGATATATTCTTCATAGAAAATCCATTGACCTGGTTTTGCACAGTACTTTTAGTTGTAGTTTTTGTCTTTTCTTTTTTCCTGTCTCTCCATACAATGTGGAGCTCCATTGCCTTAGACCAGAGAAGCAGGAGGCTTTTGGCTGGACGTCCTGGGCTGACGGGGGCTCTACACCAGCATCGGGAGGACAGAGTGATGATGATAATGATGATGTATGAACATTTGGATGTAATAAGACCATTTTTGCTCCTGAGAAGACATGTCATCAATGCAATGCCATACAGAAACTGATTCTCCATGATGTGCTGGGAGCACATGGACATTATCTGTGATCTGTTTGTATGTGACACGTGTTTGTGTGTAAGGCTGTGAGAGTCTCCCGTTTGTCTGTCTGTGAATATATACATAAACGTATGTATATATAAAATTATGCATCTTCTATGTACTACAGGCAAATAATAAATAGAATTTATGCTATGAAATTGTCTGTATACTGTTTTGTTTGAATACCAATTTTTAATATTAAGAAGGTTTTCTGTAACAGAAATTTTTAGTGAGAATTTCATTGAAACATGCATTATATAATAAGCAGATTATTAAATGACAGTCAAAAATGTAGTGAAACTTTACACACACATAAAACATTACTTAAAGTAAGGTTTATTTTCGCTTTCTGTACTAGTACATACCTTAAAGTCTTTGCTTCAAAAAAGCCACTGAACACACATTTGTTGTCCCACATTTGTTTCCAAGGAAAAAAAAGATGCAGTTCATTAAAGAGGTCATCCGATGCCCATTTTCCACAAGTTGATATGATTCTTTAGGGTCTTAATGAAAAGTCTGTAACATAGTTTGGTTAAAATTTCTCAATGGTAGTGTAATAAAACACCTTTTTTTACCGTCAAAAACAGCTCTTTTCAGAGCAAGCCATTTTGTAGCATTTTCCTTTAAATGTTAATGAGCTATGCTGACCCCGCCCCTCTCTTCCGAGCTGCTCTGAGGGACTGTTTACTTTAGCCGCATTCATTGTGAAACTTGCTAATTAGCACATTATTAGGAAAGGCGATTTGCAAAGATTCATTAAAAAAAACCTTATACTCACTTCTTCTGTAGGTGAAGCTGGATCACGAATGATTCGCG